CATCTGGCCTTTTCCCACAGGTAACTTTTACTGGCCGAGCTGCATGGCAAAGACTGTTGTCCCTCTCCCTGGGAGCTGTGTGGTCTTACAGCCCCAGTCAAGAACACAGAACATTTGCTGCCTTCGCAGAACAGTCAGCGAGTGACCGGGCAGACTAAAGACAAGAAGATGACAGGTTCCACAGCAACCCGGACAGTTGAGATAGCAGAGACTGACTCCGCTTTACTCCCAGCAAAGGGGCAATGATGTCACCCTCCCTCCCCTTGGCCCTTCTTGCCCAGTGTTCTCCCAGAAAGATTGTGCTCAGTTACCCTTGAGGGCTGAAAGGGAAAGGCAATCCACTTGGTTGAGGCCACCTGGGTGTTAAATGGCTCTCCCCCTAGAAGGCCTAGGGAGGGGAGGTCTCCAAAGGGCTAAACCAGGAAATCAATAGACCCTTTGTTTTCTCACTTCTGATGAAATAATAAAGCTCCATAGCTTTAAAATAGCCCTTAATATTCCCAACACCACACCTAACACCTATACCTGACAGAAACTGTTGAGTGACCAACATGTATGTGCACGCACACACACACACACACACACACACACACACACACACGACTTACAAGTGTACTGCACTGGGGGATGACCCTGCTCTTCTGCCTGCAGGCCCACCTCAGCACCAGATGAAGCTTGGCACTGGCTTCCACCTATGGGTAGGGTGACTCCTGCTGGGCTCTGATGCTCCCCATGTAGGCTGGGAGGCGAGTTTGGCAGTAACTGAGTGGAGACTGAAGGTCCAAGTCCCCGAGTCCCAGCAGGGACCCAGCTGGCAGTGAGAGGCAGTTAGAGAGTGGCAAGAAGGGCGTAAGCGACCAGAGAGTTCAGACTGAAGGGGGAACCTTTCCAGCTCTCCACTGTAAGTGGCCTTTGTTAGACTCAAGAGCAAAATGAGAAGGTTTAAGGGACAGAGCGAATGCGATGTCTCAGGGGTTGTGTGCTAGGCAGTGCGGCACTCTCTGGGCAGGAGGCTGGACTGGCAGGGGCCTCTCACTCTTGTGTAATGTCTTGGCTGAGATCCATAGACACACAGACAGGATGTTGCTGCCACCTTGCTGTCTAGAGATACCCTTCAGGCCAATGACTCCAATGTGTCTGGCATCCCAGCCTGTACTGCCTACCAGCCCAGACTGCATCTTCCCCACAGCCAGCAGACTGCACCTGCTGGTGTCTAGGCAGCGTCATGGAACCCGAGCCCCATTTGTTTTAACATGGGCTCCATCCGTCTGCTCATTCTGCTGGAACCAAGCCCTGGAAGTGGCCACTCCAAGGCTGAGTGGTCCTCAATGGAACATGACCAGGAAGGTGCCTTGGCTCTGGATCTCCACCTAGAGGCAAAGGGGAAAGACAGCCAGGGGCTCCCAATGGAAAGCTCCCATATTTCTGAGACTTACACATCTACAGGAGAAGAACCATGGGGTCTGGCTGGACCATGATAGGGGCTGCCCAGGAACCAGGCAGCAGAGGATGGGTACACAGCCAACAGTGGAAAGGGAGGAGGCACCTTTTGTGTAAAATAAGAATGCCAAAGTTATGGTCACTTCTTAGAAGGGGGAGAGGGCAAAGGAGAAAAAAATCACAGATTCAAAAAAAAGGCCACAGGTCTGAGTAGAGGATGCCTGCTGGACCCAGCTCCTCCTGACTCCTAAGACAATAACCAAGGAGACCGAAGATGCAGGCTGTCCTAGTGTCAGGATACCTGCGTTCCTCTCTACCAGTCAGGCCTCAGTTTAGTCACGCCGTCACTGGGGCAACCTGGAGACAAATGGGCTCCAGGACCGAGGGCCAAGCCTCCCTTGCCCAGGCTCGTCTGCTCCCAAACACCTTCTGGGAAGGGCCAGCCCTGGTCAGACCGTGAGGACAGGGGTGCAGGAAAGGAGCACCATCTGAGGAGAGAGCCAGGCAAGGGCGGGAGGAGGTCCCACCTGGCCAGTCACTTAAAGGTGTCATCAGTGTTTTTGAACATGAGAATGGCGTTATAGATCTTCAAGGCTGGGCCCAGCTTGACACTCATGATCTTCACAATGTCCGCCTGTGTCAGCAAAAGGAAGGCCTCGCCGTCAATCATCTGAGGGGGCGGGAGAGGGAGGAGGAAGTCGGAGGAGAAGGAAAGGGTGGTGGGGGGACAGGTGAGAGGAAGGGAGGGGCAGATATGTGAGGTGGGTATGGGAAGGGGAGAAGGGGCATGTGGCAGGTGGGAAAGGAAGAGGGGGTAAAGAGGAAGGACAAGGAAGGGAAAAAGAAGAAAGAAAGACAGCAATGGGGGTGGAGAAGGAAATCAGGACAGCTTGGTTCCCGCTGTACACATAGAGCTTCTCTTTCTCTTTCTGCTAACAGGTCTGTGTCAGCGTCTATACTGGAAAACCCTCCCTGGAGCCCTTACAAATAGTAGCTTCGAGAATTCAGCTGCTGCTATACAGTTGTGGGACATCGTACTTAATTCAAATGTGAAGCTCCTTGTTTGAAAGTTATTAAGAATTTCAAAATAGTGACAGCTAAGGACAGAGCCAAATCCATGTTCGTCTAAGTCCAGGGTACAGGGATGCTGCCCAGGAAGCCAGGCAGGCTCGTGGTCTAAGTAGTTTCATTCATTAATCCTCCTTCAAAAATGCTACCTGGGCTCCTTCTGTAACCGGGGTAACAGCCTCCATATCTACACATGTGATCTTGCATTTGTGAAATGCCCGCAGCCAAAACAAAACAAAGACAAGAGAAAGCCCATCGCAGCGCCATGGGAGCCCACCGGTCAGTCTCAGTGCCACTGAGGGTGAGCTGGGCAGATGCTGCATTCTGAGAGCTGCGGCATGGGGTGTACTGTTACCTCTGACCTTTTCCCGCCCCCAAATCAGAGAGACAGAGAACACCTGGATCTAACAAAGCCTTTGGATCTGATCTCTAGTTTAAATGTTTCCTATTACAATCATTTATTTTGTGTATATGTGGCTGTGGGTGTGAAAGTGGATGTGGACATGTCCCGATATGCATGTGGGGGTCAGAGGACAATTTTTGGGAGTCAGCTCTCTCTTTCCATCATGTGAATCCCGGGGATCAAACTCAGGTCTTTAGGCTTGGTGTGAAGAGCCTCCATCCGCTTAGCTAATCTGCTGGTCCTCACTTCTAGACTTTTAAAAATGTCATGAGAAAAAATAAAATGAGAAAAAGAAGAAAAAGGCTACCTTCCTAGAATGGAGGATATTTAAGGGTTATATAACACCGTAAACAATTTATGTGGGTTTTACTTAGCTCAAGAACTATTGTTTAAAATGTTCTGAGGTAACAGGAAATGCGGATATGGGCAGGGTGTGGATGACCTGAGGAGCAACCACTGATTGCTGGTGCAATAACAACACTGTATAAAGTCACGAGTCACAGTCCTTGGGTGAATCATGATGGTGCCTGTAATCTAACAACCTCATGCCAGGGCAGACAAAGCAAGTGTGTGGAAGGCTGATGAGTGCACATTCTAGTCAGGGAGAAAAGTCAGGTGTGAGGAGGGAGGGAGGGAGATGAAGAGAACAGAGGAAGGAGGTTGTATGGGACTCAGGAGGGGAAACCATGTAAATGTCCATGAACAGGAGTCCTGCAGCCTGTTCATTAGATGGAGAGAAACTGAGAGTGTACACAGCACTACACAACAGGTCTCCCAACACTACAGGGAATGAAGAGAGAGACCCACAGCGCCCCTGCTGTCTGATCCTACTGCATAATTTAAGAATAGGCAAGCCCAGTCTATAGTGCTATAATCCACAGTGCTATAAAAGGTTTGATGATCCACAGTGCTTATGTTTTGGGGTAGAGCCTGACTAGTGGGGGCTGAGGAAGAACTTTCTGGTGTGATGGGAATGGTCTGTCTTGATGGAGGTAGATTCAAGTACACACATTTATAAAACTTGTGGTGTTGGGTGTTCGCCTCAGTCAGTTCATCTAGGGATGGTAGGGTGGAGGGGAGGGCCTAGCTATTGAACAGTGGCAAAGAACAGCCTTAGCTTGCAAGAAGCTCTGGGCTCAGTCCTCAGCACCAAAACCGAAGCCAAACCAAACCAAACCAAACCAAACCAAACCAAACCCCAAACAAATGAAAGTGAAACCAACAAGCCACCCATGGAGCAGGCATTTGCTCCCTGTTGGTCAGAAGGTTCTAGAAACAGGAGTCCAGCTAGACACCCAGACAAGCACAAATAAGATCAGCAACACAGGGGGCAAGACCAGCATCCAGACGGGAAGAGGCAGACCGTGCTGGGTCTACAGACATCCATCTTTCTTACAGGGCACAGATTTAGGCAGCTGAACCCACACTGCTGGGGCAAGGGACTGCTTCTGTTGATTTGGAAGGAAGACTCAAACACACTCGAGGACTCCTTCTACTGTCAAATTCCACAGATTAAGAGAGTCATGAAGAAAGTTCTTTATTTAGGGGCAACTGTGCACACAAAATCAGACTACCAACTATTTCTAGAAGTCTCACCCGTATTGGGCTTTTGGTATAGTGGTGGGATTTCTATATGACTCTATAATGTTGTCTGACAGATGTACACACATGCCAGTGATATGATCATGTAGCTATCTATACTCACTCCTGGTCTCTAAAGTTCACAGTGACCTGCCAGGTAGCCTTCAGTGCACTTGCTCTCCCTCCATCTTAAAAACGGGAGGATGTGGGCTCAGAGACAAGCGGTTCAAACTGGGAGAGCTAGGATTCCGGCCCAGGCTGCCTTCAACCTGACATTCGTTTTCCCATAACCCACTGCTTCATATCTTCCCTAAACTCTTGGGCATTAACTTTCGTGTATTGGGATCTTTGCAACAAATATCTACACCTACGCCACCCAATATCTGCTTTGGGTTCAGTGGTATGCAGGGATGCAGCTCAGTGGTGGAGTATCTGCTTGGCCTGGCTGAAGCTGTGTTTGCCCCCCAGCATCCCAAATTGTGAAACACTTCAAACAGCCCCGGGGGAGACAGCATAAGAACAAATGGATTCCTTCTTCAGGACACATCTTTCTTCCCAAAGGGAATCTGAACACAGTGTCTCCAAGCCAGGCCACAGTCCCTGCATGATTTCTCAGACATGGGCGACTATGACTCGTCTTGCCTTGCAGAGCATCAGAGGTCCCTCTCGGGCTCGGGTAATGCTGGTGAGGGTAATGGATTTCCGCCATCTCAACGGCAGCAACTTTGTCTCTGTCCCTCTGCACTGGTACCTTACCTCATCTTTGAAGAGGCGTGCTTGGTCCTCAGAGCCCGTCAAGGTCAGAACAAAGCTGAAGACCTTGGAAATCAAAGGAGATATTCGTTAACCAGGGGAGGGTAATTCTACATGGTCTTGGGGCCCCTTGGACTATGCCAGCAGTTTCTTTCTTATTAGCCTTAGGAAGTCCTCATGTCTTTGTATGGTGGTACATGAGGGAAGGTCTCTTGTTGCTTAAAGTATGTCTGTCCTGCTAGAGTCCCAGCTTGACTGACAGGACCCACCTTCTCTATCCACCATAAGAGGCCTGATTTGGTCAGCCTTGCTGTGCCGCTAAAGGGGCTGTGCATAGGAAGAATGAGCCCAAGGTGGAGGCTGTGAGGAGTGGCATGAGGCTCCATCTGAGCCAGCCCTAGCCTGAGCCCCCTCCTAGGGTGTGGTTTAGCGGACAGGAAGAAGAGGGGGAGAGGCTAAGGAAAGACTCCATACCTCTTCAATGGTCCACTTGGAGACCGTGGAGGCTGAGATACCTGCCACTCCTGGCAAGAGCTTGCAGTGCTGCTCCCAGCACAGAGAGAATGAGCGATCAGGGTGGGTGGCCAAGGTGGACATGAAGAGGGACTGGTGCACCACACTGGGAGGAAGGGCTAGAAGGGAGAAGCAGAGAGCAGTGGGCTAGCACTAGGGAGAGCTCACACTTAGGACACAGGGGACACTGGCTGGCACAACGGACAGGGTGAGGACCCCTCCTGAAAGCCTGCAGAACCACGTGGGTGAGTTGGTATGCTGCTGGCCAAATGGGTTGCTTGCTTGCAGGCTTCGGCACCCACTGTGGAGTAACCCCAGACTCTGGGCCTTTGAGGGTTCTCTCTTGGAGCTGGTGGCATCAAACAACCCTTACATTCAAACGAGTTCATCCCTGACATCAGTACTGAGTTCTGTGTCCTTTCTGAAGCCCTTTTGGACTCTGAGCAGGGTCATTCTGGCCCCAGAGAATGAGTTCTTACCAGCTGTCCAGCCACAGGCTGCCATCGCTTGCTTCCTCATCCGCTCAGGAATCTGATGCCACTGTTTGACTTCCTCTTTAGCAGGTTGGGCACTCACCCCTTTGACTTTACTCAATTCAACTGCTGACAACCTGACTCCATCCTCTGCACTCTCCTGGAGGCCTACTCTGCCTCGGTCCACAGTTCTGGCTAATTGCTCTAATGTAGTGCTTGCTGATAATTCTGGATGCAGAATGCAGCACTTCTAGCGCCGTCTTCTCTATGGCAGCCTCTGCCCGGTACAGACTACCCTGCCCCACCTCATTCCCTAAGCCTTAGCCTCGTGGCTTCTTCAGCTCCTCGTAGTCCCACCCTGGGCCTCTGGGATCCTACCACAGACCCACTGTCATTCTCCTGCAGCCTCTGCATCTCAGTCCACACCTGTGCATTGCTCAGCGAAGCATCACTGATGCTTGTTCCCTGTGACTGCAACAGTTCCAGCTGTGACCCAGCAGCTGTGCCTTCCCTGCCTAATCATGTTTTAGGACCATAGGTAAAGATGGTACCCTGGGTCCTATCTTACTCCCCAGAGCAGAGCCTGACTCTAGTGAGCAGCCGCAGCATTGTATTTAATGCTAGAAGGTTCTTCCAAAGAGGTGACCCTTGTGGGACCTGGGCAATGAGCACAGCCAAGGGCCAGGTGGTGTTCCCTGATGGGACGGTCACGTGCGCATCTGGACCTTGCATCAAGGTCTACCATGGATGGTGTGAGGGGTCTCCTCTAGAAGGGGAGCTGCAGCCAGGGTCCCTTCCTGGTTAAAGGCCTGCCGGTACAACAGACAGCCCTCTGTGGAGATGAGAGACCTGGGCTCTGTCCCTGAGATGCCTTAGGGGCCAGAGTGAGGCCTGAGTCCCTCCCTTTTCCTTTGGCCATAGCTGTAACCACTGGAAAGACTGACTTCTGGGCTGGAGAGAGGGCTTAGCAGGTAAAGGTACGTAAGGTATAGGCTGTGCAAGCCTGAGAACTTGAACTAGATTCCCCAAGCCCATATAAAGGTAGAAAGAGAGAACAGACGTGACAAAGTTGTCCTCTGACCTCCACGTGCACACCAGGGCATCACTCACTCCCCCAATCCCTCCACATTCAGTCAGGAGGTGCCCTCTGGTGGTTAGAATGTAGTCCTGCACATGGGAGCTGACCAAAGTACCATGGCAGGCAAGAGAGAGGCCTATATAGCCTGACCCTGGCTGGGATAGCTTTCTAGGGAGGACCCAGACATCAGCCAAGATGCTTGGCATTCAGACCTGAGGCTACAAAAACTATCTTCTGTTTCCATCAGGAGGAAACAGTAAAGAGAGAAGCCAGGGTGGGGGGAGTCTTCCAGGCACAAGCTTGTAACTGGTGTACAGTTAGCTGTGCTGAACACACATGATTATTCTCAGCATCTGACTGAGGACGCCAGGCTCAGGGAATCTGGTGTGAGACACCAGGGATGCTCACACAAGACAGAGCAGCAAGGGTGCAAGCAGCCAGTGGTCTGAGTACCGGGAGAAAGGTCTGAGAGGATAGCAATCCAGACACCTGCAGCTCCACAACTGTGAGGTGAATACATGCCTGCTCTTCAGGCCACCCAGGGTGTGGTATTTTGTTACATAAATCCACGCAAATGAACCCAAGGGGAATGGGCACTGAGATGACATTAGGGCACAGGGCTTTAGACTAATGCCATGTGGCAGACATCAGGTCCAAGTTTGAATTCCAGCTCAGCCCCTCAGAAGGTGAATGACCCTGAGCAAATGATTTCAGCTCTGAGCCTCCCATTCCTCCCTAGTTAGACACAGTGGGAGGCTGGAGAGCTGGAGAAGGCAGCTACAAAGTGCTCATCACAGTGTCTGGCTCTGTGAACGGTAATAGTAGCCACCATAGTCAGTTCAGCCAGTGACTCCCTGTGCTCTCAAGTGAGGAAAGTGGCTTGTTCAAGGTCATACAACTGACAGCCATGGTCTCCTGAGGAAGCTTAGAATCACAGACGAACAGAGCAGGGCCATTGCTCCACCTTGTGGAAACCCAGCCCCCCACCCCCTTTTCCACAGACTCCTAGAAAGTCCGTAGGACCAGAAGCCTTGGCCACTCAAGGTCTCATCCTGTGCTCTTGCCCCTGAGCTATGCACCAAAACTCTTCAAAGCAGTGGCCTCCTTTCCAGCGGCTCTCATTCCGCTGCCCTGGTGTCTTGTTCCATCAATCACAGGCCCCCTGCTCAGCATCCTCTGTCAACTGGACTCACTCACCTTGAAAATCTTCTTGCAGACTCTTGCGATACTTTGGAGGACGTCCAATCCTGGAGAGAGAGGGACCGGGGCCCGCAGCAGAGGATCAGTGGCTGGCCCAAGAAGACACGAGGCCCCACACCCGTGAAGCCCAGGACCTGACTCCCTGGCCTCCGCACCGGCCATGATGGCGGGGCTTCTTCCTTGGGGACAAATTAGACAGGTTCTTCTTCCTGGCTGCCGTCTCCGAGTCGGACAGCTCCGCTTTCAGCCGACTCTGGTTCCTCTCGGCCAGCGGGCAGCCAGAGAGGCAGTGGTGAGCCGTGAACTTGCCTGTAATGTGGCCAGAGCCATCACAGCCAGGAGTGGGGCACTTCCTGGGGAGATGAAGGCTTTAGTTGGGTGGACCCACTTGTCTCTACTGAGCCCCCCCTAACCTTGGCCCTGGGTCCTGGGGAATGCTGATGGGTCTCGCTCCACAGCTGTAAAAGACTCTTCCCTGAACGATACCTGCTTCACTCTGGGCCTCGGGTGTTGCTTTACTTACCGCTGGTGAAAGCTGTATTTGGAGGGCTTTGTGTGGGGTGGGCTCCTGTGGCTGAGCGTGGGACAGCTCCCGGGTGAGGCAGCACTGGATTCTCTGGGCCCTACAGGGGCAAAAGAGAAGTCAGCATGGAGTCCTGGAGACAGGAGAAAGGGACAAAGAAGGGATAGTGTGCATGTGGTGTGGGGGGGAGGGGTCAGTACCCAGAACTAGTTCCTTGGAGACCAGGCTCTGAGCCAAGCTGTGCCCATTCCTGCCATCAGGTATCAGCTACCATTGGGGAAGGAAGGTTTGACTTTTTCATACTTTGCTGGGACCTGCAGGCATGCCTTGATTTAGTGAGGCAGGAAGAGCTGGGGGTAGGGGGCTGGGCATCCCAGGCTCGCTGCGGGCACTGGAGCCCCGCCTGGGAGGGCTGTCAGAGGTTGGTGGAAAGGGAAAGTTGGCAGCGTGTCCTGAGAGTACACACGGAGAGGAGGCTCCAGGGGATGTCCTGTCTTGGAGCACCAGCCTGCAGGGTGGATGTCCGGGTGGTCGGCGTCGATCCAGAAGTCATAGTTGTGACTCCAGCCATCAAAGTGGAGCTGGGAAAAAAAAGGCCCTTGGGGGTCAAGTGTTGTTCCTGGAGCCCGGCTCAGTCAGGAGGTGCTCTGGGCTCCGACGTGCTCCCTATGCCTAGGCCAAGATCTTGGAGATGAATACAGGGGGCATCTACACAGTAACTGTTCTCAGCCACGTGTTTTCATCTCCATTAAGTCCCTGTGTAGGACAAGGGTTATTAGACCCATTTTACAGATGATAAGATTAAGGCTTGTAGAGGAAAAGGAACCCTTCCAGGCCCACAACAGTGAATCACAGATAAGGAAAGAAAGGTCTGGGGTCTTCAGCTTCCTAGTTCATGCCATGCCCTGACCTCTAAGCATTCTAGAGAATTTCTGTCCCACTGACCTGTCCACTCCCCCAGGCCTAGGGTCCCAGAGCCACCTTTATCCGATGGTCCTCCACATCTTCCACGCTGGCTACCCGAATCAGTGCTGGGTTCCGGCGGTCCACAGCCTCCAGCTTCATGTTGACCAGGAAGCTGTGAGGGGGTCTCTGTGGGGAGATAGGTGCTTTGAGGCTAAGGCCCAGCTCTGAGGAGCTGAAGCTCCAGGAAGAGAGCCACAGGGAGGACTGTCTTGGCCGAGGCCGTCCACTGGCTGACTGACAGGACCATGTCTTCCTAAGCTCAGCTCTAGGGAAGGCGAGAGTCCACTTACCACTTTGAAGGCCCAAGTGGGCACAGCTGAGGTCCCAGTTTCTTCTAGATAATTCTCCCAGCAGAAGCTATCAGGGTCTGGATAGTCTGGAAAGGAGGTGAGAGCAATAGCTGAGCCAACCAGGTGGCTCAGGGAACTCTGTCCCCAGTTGGGATCAAGAACATGGAAGGAAGCCAGGGGTGGTGGCGCACGCCTTTAATTACAGCACACGGGAGGCAGAGGCAGCCGTATCTCAAGGAATCTGAGGCCAACATGGTCAAAAAAGCCAGTTCCAAGATAGCTAGGGCTACACAGGGAAACCCTGTCTCAAAAAAACAACAGCAACAAAACAAAACAAAACAAAAAACAGCAACAAAACAAACAAAAGAACATGGAAGGGGCAGAAACACTTGGAGAAGAAACTTCCGCCATGTGACCACGATCACAATTAGATGCTTGTCCTGGGGCAGATGGGTCCTGGTGAGAACTAAGCCCACGGGACCACAAGAGCTCAGGGTTGTTGGAATCCTAGCTCTCATCACTTATGGCCCCATTGCTCTTAGTCCTATCCAAACCTCTGCTACACTTGGGCCAACAGTGGTCCCAAGTGAAGGACATACGTCCTTTGTTTAGACCCCTGAATGCCTGAGGGAGCCATCTAACTTTCCTTTCCTAAACCCCAAATGTCAAAGCTCCAGGCCCAATCTGCTCCCTACCCTGTCCTAAAGGGCCTGCTAAGGAGGTGCAGGGACCAAGTCTCACATGCTAAGAGACAAGGAGGGAGCGAGGGCCCAGCCTGGGAAGGATGAGTGCTGGGCAGCAGCCTCACCTTGTGGAGGGGTGAGAGGCTTTCCATGCTTCTGGCACCAGCCCACTGGGTGGATGTAGGGACTGCTGGGATCACACCTGAAACCCAAGAGTATGTCATTGTCCTAGGAGAACGGGAGAGGGCTGAGCCTGCTGTCCCCACAGAATGGCACTGGGGACTTCCTCAGCCTCCTTCTTGGTGAGAGGGACATGGGTGATTAACACTGGGTCAGAAAATTGCCACATTGACTGAAAACTCTATCACACCATAAGAGCTAATAAAGATTTATGTTGTGTGTGCATGCACGTGTGTCCACGTTCACACACCTCTTAAGGTATTTTCTGATGAAGTAGGAAACATTGAGCTTTGTAACTCGTGACTCAGCTCAAATCCAGGACGGCTCGCTATCCCCCTCCCCCTCAAATCCAGAGCAATATCTGAATAACTGGGTAGGGCCACATGGTGTCTGAGGTCCTACAGGGGATGCCTCCTCCCCTGGTGCCTCTTCCCCAGCAGGTCCCAGTACCAGTAGTCATAAGTATCATCCCAGTTGTCAAAGTGCACCAGGAAGCGGCCGTCTACCACATCGGTCACACTGGCCACACAGACGAGGGATGGGTTCATGCGGTCCACAGCCTCCAGCTTCATGCCCACCTGGAAGCCCACTAGGGGAGAACTCTAGGAATAAGAAGAGGGCTGTCACAGCCGGGGCCAGGGTGGCCGGAACTAGCCCGGAGCTGCTAGCCAACGCAGGAGCAGGTTCTCTGCATGGATTGCCTGGGAGTGGGAAGTGGGCACCAGGGAGAAATAGGCAGGGAATGAGGGTTGCTCTGGCCCACACAGGGACTTCTGTTCTCCAAGTGTAATGACTTGTGGGAGAAGGTCAGGGACCGTCAGAAGGCTCTGTATTTACCCAAAAGTCCCAGCAGGCTGAGGACGTGTCTCCCCTACCCTACTGAGCCTAGCCAGGCTTGCCTGAGGCAGCTGGGGCAGTAGTTGGGTGGTGGGGGAGGGAGCGCTGCTGTGTTCCACCCTTGAAGGGAGCAGGGAGCAGGGAGCAGGGAGCGGCCAGGGAACTAGTATTGACTGTGTGCTTCAAAGCTTCAAAGACAGCACTTCCTCATCTCTAAGCGCCTGTCTAAGACAGTCATTCTCCTCCTAGAAGTGACGTCTGTGACTCAGAACACAAAGCAGTTAATGCCAGGGCCAGAGGTCAAACAGTTGACTTAAAAATCTGCATTTCTGGACTGGACAAAGGTGGCCCACGCCTTTAATCTCAGCACTCCAGGAGGCAGAGACTGGCAGATCTTTGTAAATTCAAGGCCAGCCTGATCTATGGAGTGAGTTCCTGGATAGCCTGGACTAAACAGAGAAACTCTGTCTTGAAACAAAGAAAAAAAAAACCCAAAACGAAAAGGGGAGTTGTTCTCTGATACAGATACACACACACATACACACACACTACTACTACTACTACTACTACTACTACTACTACTACTAATAATAATAATAATAATAATAATAATAATTTTGCCAGGTGATAGTGGTGCATGCCTTTAATCCCAGCACTTGGGAGGCAGAGTCAGGCAGATCTCTGTGAGTTCGAGGCCAGACTGCTCTACAGAGTGAGTTCCAGGACAGGCTACAAAGCTACACAGAGAAACACTGTCTCAACCACCCCGCAAAAAAAGTACTGTAAAAAATCTGCATTTCCCATGACTAGGAGGTGGGCCCTCTTGACAACAAATAAAGTCTCTGGAGCTGGACTGGAATGGGAGAGTAACTGTCCCTGTCAACAGCATGATGGAGTCCCTGACCCTTCAATATGGTTATAGTGGCAAGGGACATGCTACTAAGATGCACGGCCAGCCCCCAGTATGGAAGTATTTTCAATGGGAGCTCCCTATCTCTCAGACCCTTTGCTTGGGGTTATGTGATACTTAACTAACTGCTCACACCGCTATCGGCCTCTGAGCAGATTAACACCAGGAGGTGGGCTGGTGGGGATGTGAGCAAAGGGGAAGGCTGCCAGAACAGACTTTGATCTCATTCCACTGAGCTGCAGAGCAGACCAGAGGAAAAACATCTGAGCCATGACGAGTTAGTGTCCAGGCTGCAGCAGTCGGCTAGGCCTCTGGGGCATGTATGGGGGAGGATTCTGCAGCTCAGAATGCTATGGTTTGCGCTTCCCCAAAGGGTCCTTTGCTAGCAGGGGACTGGAGACCCCTGGCTAGTCATGGAGAGATTGAATCCTTATTAAAAGAATAGAAAGCAGGCTGGAGAGATGGCTCGGTGATTAAGAGTGCTTGCTGCTCAATCACAAGGACTGGAGTTCAGATCCCAGCGCCCATGGTCTGCAAGTGTAACTTCCGCTCTAGGTTCTGATGCCCTCTTCTGGGCTCTGCAGCACTTAGGCATTGGCATATGCACTCACACCACACACACACACACACACACCTGTAAAATAAACCGTAAAAAGAAATAAAGCGTGAGCCAGGCAGAGGTGATGCACGCCTTTAATCCCTGCACTTGCAAGGCAGAGGCAGATGGATCTCTGAGTTCAAGGCCAGCCTAAACTATGGATTGAGTTCCAGAACAGTCAGGGCTAGGCAGAGAAACCCTATCTCAAAAAAAAAAAAAAGAAAGAAAAGAAAAGAAAGAAAAAGAAAAGAAAAATGGCGGGGGGCAAGCAAGCGTGTACTTATTGTGCTTAAATCCCTCTGGCTTCCTGTGATCTCCTCCACAGAGCCTTCAGCGGTGTGGGGCAATCTGCCATGAAGCCCCCTCAGAGGCTCAACAGAAAGGACTATCTAGTCATGGACTTTCTGCTTCTGAAGCTACAAGATAAAATAAGGCTCTATTCTTTCTGTACTGGTCAGGTTAAAAACTTTGTGATAGCAACAAAATGGATGAGGGCTGGTGAGATGGTTCAGGGGGCAGAGGCACCTGCCATCAAGACGCACTCTCTGAGTTTGAACCCCTGGGTCCACATGGTGGGAGTGGAAAACCCACTCCCAAGTTGTCCTTTGACCTCCTCCAGGTGTGCTATGGGGCATGTGCAACACACACACACACACACACACACACACACACACACACACTCACACTAAATGTAAGAAAACAGAATTTGAAAGAAAATGGATGAAGGCAAGATGGAAGGAGGAGACCGGAATGTGTAATGATCATCTCCCATTTTGGCTTTGACATTTCCCCAGACACGCCTCTTGAGCAGAAGAGAGAGAGAGCTGAGAGCAACCCCTGAGCTCCATGCTCCATTCTGCCAAGTCAGATTCCCCGCGCTGACTGCAGCAACTCTGGCCTGAGGGTGGTATTCACCTGTGCCCAGATCCCCTGTGCTGGCTACAGCGACTCTGGCCTGAGGGTGGTATTCACCTGTGCCCAGATCCCCTGTGCTGGCTACAGCGACTCTGGCCTGAGGGTGGTATTCACCTGTGCCCAGATCCCCTGTGCTGGCTACAGCGACTCTGGCCTGAGGGTGGTATTCACCTGTGCCCAGATCCCCTGTGCTGGCTACAGCGACTCTGGCCTGAGGGTGGTATTCACCTGTGCCCAGATCCCCTGTGCTGGCTACAGCGACTCTGGCCTGAGGGTGGTATTCACCTGTGCCCAGATCCCCTGTGCTGGCTGCAGCGACTCTGGCCTGAGGGTGGTATTCACCTGTGCCCAGATCCCCTGTGCTGGCTACAGCGACTCTGGCCTGAGGGTGGTATTCACCTGTGCCCAGATCCCCTGTGCTGGCTACAGCGACTCTGGCCTGAGGGTGGTATTCACCTGTGCCCAGATCCCCTGTGCTGGCTGCAGCGACTCTGGCCTGAGGGTGGTATTCACCTGTGCCCAGATCCCCTGTGCTGGCTACAGCGACTCTGGCCTGAGGGTGGTATTCACCTGTGCCCAGATCCCCTGTGCTGGCTACAGCGACTCTGGCCTGAGGGTGGTATTCACCTGTGCCCAGATCCCCTGTGCTGGCTACAGCGACTCTGGCCTGAGGGTGGTATTCACCTGTGCCCAGATCCCCTGTGCTGGCTACAGCGACTCTGGCCTGAGGGTGGTATTCACCTGTGCCCAGATCCCCTGTGCTGGCTACAGCGACTCTGGCCTGAGGGTGGTATTCACCTGTGCCCAGATCCCCTGTGCTGGCTACAGCGACTCTGGCCTGAGGGTGGTATTCACCTGTGCCCAGATCCCCTGTGCTGGCTACAGCGACTCTGGCCTGAGGGTGGTATTCACCTGTGCCCAGATCCCCTGTGCTGGCTACAGCGACTCTGGCCTGAGGGTGGTATTCACCTGTGCCCAGATCCCCTGTGCTGGCTACAGCGACTCTGGCCTGAGGGTGGTATTCACCTGTGCCCAGATCCCCTGTGCTGGCTACAGCGACTCTGGCCTGAGGGTAGTATTCACCTGTGCCCAGATCCCCTGTGCTGGCTACAGCGACTCTGGCCTGAGGGTGGTATTCACCTGTGCCCAGATACTCACCTGGCTCTGGCTTACGAACAGGTGCTTGGGGGCTGCCTGAGCTCTTGTACTGCGCAGGTACTGGCTCCAGCTGAATTCCTCTGCCTTGTAACCTGGGCCCCTCGGGGGAATGAAGAGAACGCTGTGCAGAGGCTGGGCCATGGTGAGGACCCCAGGAATGAAGTAGAAACAGGCAGGTCTGAAGTCCCCCAAACCCTCAGGGCCCCTCTGCTAAAGGAAGATGAGACCTGGTGAACACTCAAAGAGTTTAGAAGCCTCAGGGTGGAGTTGTATCACAATGGGACAGAGAAAGTGGCCAAAGTTTTGGGCTTAAAAAAAAAAAGTGGGATGCAGGGTGACCTGAAGGGAGTAAGGGAGTCTGGGGACTCACTGTCTTCCAGGGATAACCCAGAGAGGTCTTACCCTTGGGAGGCTGCAGCTTGTGGCCAGTCTTCTCAAACCAACCAGCAGGATGAATGTCAGGGGAGTTGGCATTGACCCAGAAGTCATGGCACTCAGAATACCCATCAAAGTGCAGGCGCAGGCGGTAGCCACACACCTGGTTGTGACAAGAGTCAGAGGCACGTCAGGGCCAGCAGATACCACCTTCCCACTATTCCGCCTTTCCTGGTCTAGCCTGCAGTCCTAAGGATCCAATGCTAGCAGGCGCCCTGGGTGCTGAGGGTATGGTGGGTCTGCTGCCCTTCTAAGCCCCAGACAGGAAGCAGAAAGTACTACAGGTCATCCCATGCCCTTGGACTCTTTCCTTTAGCCATATTCTCTCACCATACACTCTCAGTATACCCTGCTAGGCTCACACCATCTCATGCCCCAGGGACCATTTTGCTGCATCTGCTTGCAATTTCCTGCTCAAACACAGGTGGCGGCAGATAGGCCTTCCTACACTTTCCCTGCCCACTTAGGCCAAATGGAATATTCCTTGATCTGCAAGCCCATGGCCTGTACTGCTGTGCCCATCTCACACAGATTCCCTTCCTAGAGGACAGGGCCCTATTTGATTCAAGACAGCATCCCTGCCTTTTGGATCTTTCATATCTACCCCAACCCCAGCAAAGACAACGTATACTATTTAGTGATACCAGTGTCCCGCTGCTCCCCGTCTGCTTCCCAGTCTTTGCCTTTAGCCTTCCCTGTATTCCAATGGATCCTCTTGTTTGTCTGGGCTCCCTGAGGTAAAGCAGTGCCTCTCTCCGCTACCCACAACGGCTCCATCACTCTACACCGAGACACTGGGAGGGTGTTTCCAGCTCACCTCTGCCACGGTGAGGATGAAGTACATGGACGGGTGTTGAGGGTCAATGCCTTCCAGCTTCATGCCCAGTTTGAAGCCATTCTTGTTAGGGGCGACTGCCTGGGACTGTCAACGCACAGAATGGAGAGGACCCGGCTTCCATCCAGCCTTATCCTTGCCTCATGGGCTTGGGGTGAAGGAGCTCCCTTAGGCCCCATCTGCCTGCTGGTCTCAAAGGGGTGACTTATTGGGGATCTGTCCTGCAAGGGGTCCCCAGAGGGCGAGAGAGCTGCACGACTATTCTGAAGGGCTGGATCAGGGCTAGAGGTAAGGGTTCTCCCACCTACTTCATGGTGAGGTCAGTGTCAAACCGCAGAAAAGATACCAGAACCCACAAGTCAGCAGATGGGGGTGGGGGGGCTGGAGGGTACCTCTCTACTTCTTCCCACCCAGGAAGTCCCTTACAGGATACTCTTTTCAACTCTAGACATCTTCATCTTGCTAGTATGTCAAAGATTGTCCAGAAGAAAACACTAGAAGCCCTGCGATTGGTGGTGAGTCCCTGAATTGAGAAGATAAAATCTCCTTAGACTGAAATTGTCCAACTCACATCCTGGAAGAGGCTGACTGGGGCAGTGACAGCCTTCTGCTCCTCCAGGTAGGACTCCCAGGACCAGCCTTCCTTCTTCTCCTCCGACACTGCAAAGACAAAACAGGCAGGCTGGTTCCTCAGTTGCTGCCAAGGCATGGACAGTCTTCCTCAGTTTCCCCTGCCTGAGCTCTACAAGCAAACCTTTGTCTGTCCACACGGACATCTTGCCACACTCAGCTAGGCCAGTGTCAGGCACAGGGGGCTCAGACCTGAGGCGAGGTCACAGATTCTGTTTCTCCTCCACCCTCAAGCCACTGTCAGCAGTTGCCCTTTGGATTACACAGCAACTAAGATCACAAAGTATCAGCCACGCTGTCCTTGGATATGTGCAGGGTGAGGGTTAGTGATGCAGCCTGAGCCAGAGGACTTAGTCGCACTGCTACCTAAGCTCACAAAGGGAAGAGTAGGAGGGAGAGCAGGGAGGAAAAAGTGAAGGACAGAACACACAAAAGTAAGAAACCTTTCTAAAGAGTGTTTTCTTAACTACTTACAGGCATAGACATACAGATACGGGTGTGAGCCTGGTGTGCTCCAGCACACAGACCAATTCCAGTCTTCCCAGATATGTACATGCCGAGGGTGGGCACATGTGTATGTGAAGGGTACATGCATTCATGGACATGAGTGTGTGCAAACACACGCAGATATGAATGAAGTGCTTCCAGAGTCTACAGTTTGGGTCTTGTTCATAACCCTAAGAGGACCTGGGCGGGAAGGATGGGATATGTTCCTGCTGGTAAACTCCTGGCCTCCACGCACAGGACTCTTTTTTTTTTTAATTTTTATTTATTTATTATGTATACAATGTTCTGCCTGTATGACAGAAGAGGGCTCCAGATCTCATAATAGATGGTTGTGAGCCATCGTGTGTTTACTGGGAATTGAACTTGGGACCTCTGGAAGAACAGCCAGCGTTCTTAACCTCTAAGACATCTCTCCAGTCCTGCACAGGACTCTTTAAAAGATGTAACAACCAGTTACCACCAGTAGGCTGAGCAGCTCAGCTGAGGTGCCTTCCATTGAAGGCCACAGACAACCAGAGACCCAAGGACGCATAAGCATTGGCTTGCATTTTGGCAATGGATTCAGCTTTGTGATGTCATCTAGTGATGTGGGAAGGTTATTTGTCAATCTGTTGTTTCATTGGTTAATCAATAAAGAAAACTGCTTGGCCTGATAGGTCAGAAAATTAGGTAGGTGGAGTAGACAGAACAGAATGCTGGGAAGAAGGGAAGTGAGTGAGCTAGATGCCATGCCTCTCCTCTCCAGGGCAGATGCAATTGAGCCAGCCACTAGGTCAGACATGCTGAATCTTTCCTGGTAAGACACCACCTCGTGGTGTTACACAGATTATTAGAAATGGGTTAAACAAGATATGAGAGTTAGCCAAGAAGAGGCTAGATATAATGGGCCAAGCAGTGTTTAAGTGAATACAATTTGTGTGTTGTTATTTCGGGGTATAAGCTAGTCGGGTGGCTGGGAGCCAGGCAGCAGGAATGCAGCCTGCCGCTTCTTCTACAATCCACAATGTGAGGATTCTGAAACACGTGGGTCAGGAGAGGTTCTTATGAAACACCAAGACTAGAGTCAGGTTACTGAGTCTTCCTGCTCTTACTCAAGACAGATTAACCCAACTCTTCCTTGCTCTGGCTCACTCAGCCTTGGGTCATCCCAGCTTGTGGTGGTTTGTTGCTCAGGAAGATGGTTCATTCCTCAGTGGAACTCAAGTTTGTTCTACAGCTGCCTAAATTCCTTAGTCACTGTACCAAACCTTGAGCTCCTGATGACCTGACCCAGCTGAGCTAAGACAAATATTTTGTTCATCAACTGATCAACCAAGCTATCAAACTCCCTCTCTTGGAGATTGATGTCAATGCTAAATCTAGCACACATCTCTTCAGGGCATCCTTTGTCCTGAGGAAGACTCCTGCTACAGCCCTTCTGCTACAGCCAGCCCTCCCGGACTCTCCTAGCTCTCTACACAGCTTCATCTATTACTCTCTAAGCAGGAGCATGAAGAAACAAAATCAGTCCCAAAAGAAAGTCTGACAAGAAAGTCCAACTACAGCTGTCTACAGGAAAGAAGGAGCCCACTTCTGACTGGTCTACAAATATGAAGCATTTTTACATGATTTGTATGAAGGCATCACAGAGGCCAGCTGTAAAACGGATTCCTTCCGGCTTCCAGAGTGCTCCTTTGCTTGTTCCTGCTTCCTCAGATGCCCTTGGCAAGCTCAGCCTGGTCAAAGCCAACCTGGAAACGACTACAGCAAAGCTTGGGGCCCTTTTGGTGCTGTTTATCCCAGTCAGTGATACTTCCATCCATTTATCCATCCAGGAACCTGGTAGTGACCTGTGTGCTTCTCTGCTCCCCAGAATCCTCCAGTCCTGCTGATTCCAACTCCTGTGTCTCTCTTGAGTCTGTCTCCACCTTCTCATTTATTCCTTGCTCTAAATATCTCTGAAGTAAGGCGGTTTCTTTTTTCCCCCACGTTATCTTCTCATTTCAAACTAAAGAACAAAACCAGACACAAAACCGGAACCTGGGAACTAACCACCCCCTCCTGCTCATGCTTTACCACGAACCTAGGTGCCTCTGTGGCTGTGAGTTTGCACAGACTGAGTCTCTATTTCGGGTATCCCACGCCACAATTTTCTTCCACCCTCCTAACTTTTTTCTCACTCTCTAAGACCCAGATCCAGCTGCAGCATTAGTTAGGGTTTCACAGGGGACAGATGTTCAGCAAGTGTTTATTATATGACTAGAGAAAGGGCAGATGGCTGTACCAAGTCACAGAATGACTGACTGCACATAGCAGTTGTCCTGCGAAACAGCTTTGTACTTACACACTTCACACATAATACCTGTTATATGATATATAACATAATGTTATATTAAATATTATACATCATACTGTTATACGATAGCTACTTGTCTATATATTCATCTCTGCAACTGTGACCTCCTTAGGCAAGACTTGGTGTCTAGCTCACTCTGAATGCTGAGCTCCTAGCCAGTGCTTGATACAGAGTAGACAATATCTAGAGGATAGGGAGAGAAAATGCAGCAGACAGGATGCTAACACCATGGACCATCTAAGGCTACATAGTAAGATCCTGTCTAAAAGAGGGATGGGGCGGGGAGAGATGACTAGGTCCTGAGGGCACTGCCCATGAACATGCTGCTATTGAATTATTCTGAGAAACTAATGAAAGCCAAGGACCATCTTCTCCCCCCAAATGAAGGGTTTGTAGAGTTTTGCATGGATATTTAGATTAGGAACTTCCGTTAAGAAAGTGTTTCTAAGCTGAGCATGGTAGTATATGCATATAATTCCAGCTCTGTGGAGGCAGAGGCAAAGTTGGCCTGAGAGGCAAGGTGAGTTCCAGACCAGCCTGGGTTTACAGAATCAGAAGATGTCACAAACAAACATCAGAACGTCTCTAAGCTGGGTGAGGTGGCACATGCCTGTAACTCAAGATCTGCAAATCAGAGCCAGGAAAACAGTAAATCAGAGGCTAGCTAGAGCTAAAGACTAAGACCTTGTCCCCAAAAAAATAAAGACACCTCAGTAAACCAGATGGGATGGTAAATGCCTTATAATCTCAGTACTTGGCTAAGGCAGGAGAATCGTTCATTTGAGGCCAACCTAGGTTGTATAGTGTGATTCTGACTCCAAAAAAAAAAAAAAGGTCCAGGAGTGGTGGTATGCATCTTTAATCCCAGTACCAGGGAAGCAAAGGCAGATGGATCTCTGAATTGGAGGCCAGTCTGTTATGTGTAGCAAGTTTCAGGCCAGCCCAGAGCTACACAGTGAGCCCTGTTTCAAAACAAAACAGAAAATCATCCTTAAAAGCCAAAATAAATTTTGAAAGAAAATGGTCAGGGAGGAAGAGAGGAAGAGAAGGCAAGTGAGAAGGCAGACAGAGCCCCTGCAGTTGGCATGCTGGCACGTCTGTTCTGAACTGCACTCATTCTGAGGCCTGCCAAGCCCATATGTCACTATAGCAGTTCAGCATAGCATCAGTTTCTTACACCCAATTTAAAAGTGAACAAGGGTCTAAATTTCTCCAAATAAAATATATAAATGGACAATAAATTCATAAAAGAGACATCACGTATCACTTACTAGTCATTAGGAAAACACAAATCCAAACAATGGGAGTCATCCCACAGGATGGCTAAGATGGAAAAACAGAGTCACCAAGTGTTGAGGACAGGGATAAGCTAGAACCCTGCACATTCTGTAGGGGATGCAAGATTACAGTACAGTCACTTTGGAAAACAGCCTAGTAATATATCCAGATGACAAACGCAGAGCTATTATGTGAAAGAAAATTTCACTCCTAGGTATAAGCCCAATATAAACGAAGCATATGTCTACAAAAAGCTTGTACAATAATTCAGATAAGAGAATATAACAGCCCCAAATAGAAGTGATCTGCCCATCAACTGATGAATAATCACTGGTGTGGGAGGTCCTTTTGTCTATATGTTGCTTATATTGGTTAATGAATAAAGAAACTGCCTTGGCCTATAGCATGGGAGGAGGAAGGCAGAATCAGGGAGAAGCCATGGAGCCACCAGAGATAGACGCTAGAAACTTTAGCCGGTAAGCCACAGCCACATGGTGATACACAAATTAATAGAAATGGGTTAAATTCATATGTAAGAGTTAGCCAATAAGAAGCTAGAGCTAATGGGCCAAACAGTGATTTAATTAATACAGTTTCTGTGTGATTATTGTGGGGCTAAGCTAGCCAGGTGGCCGGAAACTAATGAGTGGCTTTCTCCAACAAATCACAGCACGGATGTTATTCAGGAAAAGGGAATACAGTCCCCATGGATATTAAAATATTGCTAGACCTTGATACCACTGTGCTAAGGAGAAAGAAGACAACCACAAAGTTCAACACGCATGATGCTATTTGAATAAAATGGTCCAAACAGGCAAATCTATATATGCAGAAGGCAAACTGCTGGTAATTTGGGGGATAAAGGTGGTTTGTGGGAATGACCACTGATGGGCACAATTCACCCACTGAGCAGGCATTCCATACCAGGATAAACATCCAAGACACAGTGATTAATAACCTCAGCCCCAGGCTGGCAGGATGCATGTAAAGGCACTCGCTGCCAAGTCTGATGACCAATCATTGATCCCCCAGGAACCATGTGGTGGAAGGAGAGACCTGAGTCCAGAAAATTGCCATCTGTCCGCCAACAGACTCTGAGGCACATGCGCCTCCCCCAAATAGATAAATGCAATAAAACTATAAATAAACAAATAAATTCAGACCCTGGGTTGATATAATTTAAGTGTTGGGGACGGAGGATATAAAATGGCTACATAGATGATTATCAGTATGGTAAGCTCTGCTTAAATCCAGTTGCAGCTGTCACCTGGGACTACAGAAATACTAACAACGGGCCTGAGGGCTGAAGCCAACTATGAAGGACTCTTCTTTAGAACCAGAAGAGCAAACAGGAAGGTCAGGCTAATGACCAGCGTGGGCTTGCCAAAACCACCAAAGGGAAGTAATACTACACAACTCCTCAGGTCTTCAGATACCGAGCCCAGACTTCAAAGGAGGGCCTCCTCGCAGCTGAATGATGCAAGATAAACAGCCCCAAGAATAAACATATAGCCATGCACAAACCACAAGTGGCCACTCGGTCACTTTCATACACACTAACCTGTGCTCACATGTACCATATGCAACCACAACCACGAGCCACACTTTCAGTCTCAAACCTCCGGAAGTATATAAATACTTCACATAAACAACCGCACACAGGCCGCCATACCCAGCTGGCCTCGGCTCCACTCTTCGCCCTCTGGGGTGCTGGTGGTAGGCTGACTCTCTGGATCTTTTCCTTCTTGCTTCTGTAGAAAGAAAGACTAATTCCAGCTTCCTGTCCTCATGGGTCAGGATGTAAGTTCAGCCTCTAGTCCCTGGCCCCTGCCTGGCTCTCTGGTCCAATGTTATGCCTGAAATTGGAAGAGTTTCCTGCAGGGTATATGCTGGAACTCTGCTCCTGAAGTCAATTTGTTGCTTGGGTTTGCACCACTGGGGGGCGGGGGGTATAGATTCGTATGAATACCCTTGTCACACAGCCTGACTACAATTCTCATTCCCAGATGGGGAAACTGAGTACATGAATATCTGCTCTGTGCTGATTTTACCTGCTCAAGAGACTCTTTCTGCATCTACAGCTTCAGTCCTGTGTTTCCCGACCTCTCATTTAGGTACTAGACTCTAAAGATTTCATTTTCCACTGCCACGCATCCACCTTAGGTGCCAATGCCCTTGTGTGTGTTGTAACCCTGACACCAGTTCATGATGGGAGCCACAGAAAATTAGAAGAGTGATCTGTAGGTCAGGAGTAGTCAGGAGGTGGAGGCAGAAAGATAGGGGTTCAAGGCCAGTCACATCTACAGGGTAAGTCCAAATTCAGCCTGGGCTATATACTAAGTCCCTCCCTCCCTCTCTCCCTCCTTCCCTCCCTCCCTCTCTTCCTCCCCATCTCCGTCCTTCCTCCCTCTCTCCCTCCTTTTTTTCCTCTCTCCCTCCTTTTTTCCCTCTCTCCCTCCTCCTTCCTCCCTCTCTCCTTCCTTCCTCCCTCTCTCCGTCCTTCTTCCCGCTCTCCCTCCTTCCCTCCCTTTAATTAGGTTTAATACCTGATTCAAAATGGAACCAGAAGATATGGGAGCAGGCACAACAGGATCTCCACCCCCTCCCCCATCACGGACTGGCAAGATTACAAGGCCGATGCTCCAGCTTCACATTTCTCTCCCCGCCCCTCTTTTTACCATGGCCTCTGTTTCTGACTCCTCTGATGGGCTCTGGTACTCCCTATGTTTCCTCTTCTTCATGGGCTTTAGGAGCTCGGAAGTGACAGCACAGCCCGAGTTCTCTACTATGACTGACCTACAAAAGGAACATTCTCATTAGAGGAAAAAACAAAACCAAAAAAGCAAAACAACAATAAATAATAATAATAATAATACAACCAAAACACTATAAATTCAGTAGAATTCACAGTATTCACATTCTCCTAAGCTTGAAGTCGGAAAGATACCTCAAGGGCTAAAAAACAGGGCAAGAAAGGCTGTAACTCCTCGTTCTTACCGCTTCTGGAAAGGCAGAGGGCAGTGGTCATCTGAAGAACCAAGGTCTGGAGCAGTGCTTTGTTGAGGCCCAAAAGTCTGGTACTCACTGGAGCTCGCGTCTTCTGGGGGTTCCTGAGAGGTGTCTTCTTGAGGGTCCTGGCGGACATCTGTGGAAACCGGCTGGGCCTTAGTCTTCTCACCCTGGACTGCCACCTGCAGGCTCCGCTCACATCCCTACAGCCCATCTTCTACTGGACAGCTTCCTTCAGCCTTCTCCACTTAGGACTGCCTCCCTTCACATTCCCATCCAAGAGTCTTCAGGGAGCTCAAGGGTCACCCAACCACACACTGCCCCCGGAAGCAGGATCCTACCAGGGTACTGGGTGCCCGTATCGCCTCCTGTAGAGCTACCTTCATGTCCGACCAGGCTTTCTCGCTGCCGTTCCGGGCTTGGCGGTCGCTGTACTCCCATCATGTTCAGTGGCGCATATTCGCTTATTCGGAACTGGGAATACAGAATAATTTGAGGACCGTGACTAACTACTACATCAGCTCTCCACCCACCTTGGGTCACCCACACTTTACGTTTGCTCTGCCAGCGAACACTTCTGGGGGTCTATAGACTCCGCCCACTCCGCCCCGACCACGCCCCCACATACGGTTCTGTTCCTGGAGATTACTCACTCTAAGCCACGCCCACCAGCCCCAGCTTTTTCCACCTCAAGCCCCGCCCCTTCAAGCCCACAGGCCCCGCCCCACAGCTGCCAATCCTCCTGGGCACTGACCCGTAGGCCACTCCCAGCTGAAGATGTGCAAACTCCTGTCCAATCCAGGAGCCTGACTGTGCTATTGGTCCCTGGCCCGGTGCTTAGCTGTGGCAGAAAGGTGGCAGTAACTGGTTCGCTGCTAGTCACTCGCTCCAGGGCACCCACATGGGCTGGCTCTCGGGGATAGGACACTGCTGAAGCCGGGCTGGGCAGACTAAGGGTAGTTGCATTGGCTGGAAACAGATACGCAGATAAGACAGAGCACAGATGAGTCTGGTTACCCTTTCTCCTCCCATGCATGTGTATACAGGTGAAAAGCAGGTATAGAAGAGTGAAAAGTGGCCAGATGAGGTAGCACACGCCTTTAATCCCTGCACTCAGGAGTCAGAGGCCAGCCTGATCTACAAAGCAAGTTCCAGGCCAGCCAGGGCTACACAGAGAAACCCTGTCTCAAATCAAACCAAAACAAAACACAGTAACAAAAAGAGTGAAAGTGTCATCCTTGCCCCTGTCCACATCCTCTTGAGCAAGTACGGGACCTCCAGACCACTGATCTTGACTTACTAGGAATAATAAAGGCAGTTGCAGGCAGGTGAGGACGGGGACCTGCGCTGTCTCTGGCCACCAGGTGCACACTGACCTCCCCTGTGGAAGATCCCTTCAGTGTCCTTAGCACCTCCATTTCCGTGTGTCCCTCCATCCAGATGAGTCTACAAATCAAACACAGTCACCAGGATGATGAGGATGGGGAGGGAAGGGAATTTTTGGAGGAGAAACCGGTCACCTTCAAGTCAGCAACTTGCTGAGAAAGGTCTCATCTCCAAGAGGAGTATAGTGGTCTTTTTGTTTGTTTGTTTTTGAGACAGGGATTCTCTGTGTAGCATCCAGAACTGAAGTGTTTTAGGGTACCAGCATCAGGCCTGACTCCTGCCTTTACCAGGTTATTGATAGAACTCTGTCCAGGCCCTGCATCCTCCCCTGCTCATTATTTGTGAAGATGAGCATAACGGCACAAGTGAGAGACCACGCATGCTGCGTGTACAGAAATGGCGTATAGGAAGCATGATTCAGGCCAAGGTTCTGTTTTTGTCAGTGGCACAGCCCAGGCTGAGTCCAAATCATTTCTTTCTTGATCCCCCACTTCCATTCCCCGTCTTTGAGAACTCAGAGTCTTCAGGACTACATGCTACTCTATCCAAACAGGGTCAGTCCTTGTGGAAGGTGACATCTTTCCTGATCTTGTTCTTTTGTGTGTCCCTGTGCACCACTCCCTCTAACACACAGACACAGCCATGTATGGTTAGCCATAGATTAATTATAGAGAGCCATAACGCCTAGGTTGCAGCCTCTGTTGAACAAATGCATGTACCTGAATAGCAAAAGAGTAGCATTTGAAAACCCAGTCAGTACAAGGTCCAGAAGCTGGGGCTTTAGCTTATTGCAAAGCACTGGACTAGTATGCATGAATCCTGAGTTCAAATCCAGCACAGGGGTTGGGGGACAGAGAAGAGAAAGGAAGGGGGTTAGGGGAGGAGAGGGGAGAAGAGAAAGGAAGGGAGGGAAGGGGAGGGGAGGGGAGAAGAGAAGAATGGCATTCCACAGCACGGTTACTACTCAGCTGCTCCTTAGCCATGGCTTCAGGCATAGATGGTAAGGAAGAATTTTGAGGCTGAGCCCACGACGGAGTTTTGAGTTAGACTCTCAGCTTCGCCACATTCACTTGGTACCCGTGACTCCAGATAAGCAGCCTTCCTACTCTGAGCCTCGGTTTTCTTTTCTTTTCTTTTTGTTGTTGTTGTTTTTTTTTTTTTTTTGTCATTTTTCAAGACAAGATTTCTCTGTATAAAAGCCCTGACTGTCCTGGAACTCACTCTGTAGACCAGGTTGGCTTCGAACTCACAGAGATCTGCCTGCCTCTGCCTTCCAAGTGTTGGGATTAAATGTGTGTTCCACCACTGCCTGGCAAGCCTTAGTTTTCTTAACAGTAAAGTAAAATGAAGGTGACAATGGCACCTACCTGAAGGGGCTTTAGTGAATGCTGGCTGTGAAGTATTGATACCAGCAGGCCTTCGACAGACAGCAATCCTCTCCCTTTAGACAGAAACTCCAGGGAGTTGGGCAGCTTCTAGCCAATACCATGGGCACTGGCTACTTGCAAAGTCAAGTTGCAATGGCTGCTGTCGTGTGCCCACCCTCCCTTTCTCTCTTGTTGTTCTTGTGTATTCATTTATCTCCAAGTGTTTCCTCCCTAAAATGGAATATATTACAGATGTCTATCATTAGAAGTATAAAAACATGGTATAAACTGGTAGATAGGGTCAGATATGTGACTTGATTAACTAAAGAAGCATTCAAGCCAAACAAGATGAGTTTTTAAAACTTGAGTTTATAAAGATCCAGTATCTCCCAAATTTCAATTCCAATTCATTTTGCTTTTTACAGCTTAAGTGTTTATATCACTTAGAAATATTAGCCTTATTTTATGTGTACAGTTGGTTTTGCTACACTGTGTGCATGTAGTACCTGCTGAGGCCAAAAGAGGGCTTCTGATCCTCCTGAAACTGGAGCTCCAGATGGTTGTCAGAGACCATGGGGTTGCTGGGAATTGAACCTGGGTCCTCTGCAAGAGCAACAGGTGCTTTTAACCCTGAGCCATTTCTTCTGCCTCTGTGTCACTTATAGTTATTTTAAACAGAATAAAACTCTTATTTAAAATACTGACGCTTATGAAGAGAGGCTGCTTATTCAAAGAAGTCTTAAAAAAAAAAAAAACAACAGTCCCCTCTGGCAGGTGTCTCAGAGAAGCAGCTGAAGATGGTCTTTCTGACAGGACTTTGCTGTCTGGTCTCAGCACGTCCCGGAGAGCCAGTGAAGTGCCAACACTGCTCTATGCTTTGGGGACAGTGGTGCTCCTGAGACACAGGGTTCTCATGAGCCTTCTACTTTAAGGGATGAGGCTGCAGCTGGAGACACATTTGAAAGTTGTTGCACACAGATGGTGTTTAAGACATAGAAGGGAATGCAGAGAAAAGAGGGAAGCCTTGGAGCACCAAAACAATGCAGGTTGGGAGGGCAGAGGAGATCCAGTGCCAGTGAGAAAAACTTGCAGCGAGCTGGGAGGGGAGTCAAAAGAAGCCCTTTCTGGAGACTAATGGAGACAACTGTCAGCTATCAGCCTCAGGGGAACTCACATTCAAATGTTTTCTCCCTAAGACAGCTATAGATGCTCAGTTGACTGAGGCCTATCAAAGCCCCATCCCTTTACCTTCATTTGAGGCATCTCTGCAGGGCCATCTCAAGTTTAGGGATTCCTGCTCCCCAGGCTGAAGCTCTGTTGAGACTGTATCAGTATTTCACCATCTCTGTTCCATCTTGCTGGCTTCACAGGGCTACGCCCATAAACCTACACTTAAATCTGTGTTTCCAGGAAATCCTACTTAAAACGAGAGTAGTTGCACATAGCAAGTGCTCAATAAACAATCTTTGAACGTATCCATTCTGTCTGTCAGGCTTTCCACACACACTCCACCCAGAGCCCTTTGATGTCTTGTATACAGCAGACACCCAATAAATGCCCTGGTGGTAGGTGTTGGAAAGAAGATAGTTCTGGAGGCACACAGAAAACTTGGAGGGGCTTCCCCTGGCTGGTCTCTGCCGAAGCTAATGTAGACGCTAGCGAGTGGAATGCGCTGTTGGAGTGTCCAAGCCCACCCACCACCCGCCTCCCTCGACTAACGCAGACAGTTGCAGGCGGGGCGGTCACTGATCCATTTGCTCTGCAGAAGGGTTACTTTTTTTAAACATCAAAATGGCGGAATTCTTTAGGTTCCCCCCCCCCCCCCCCCGCTTATAGCCAATTTTTTAAAAATCCAATTTTCTGTTAAAAAAATTTTGAAAATCAGTGACAGAGGAAAGTTTGCCAAATGGCCTATGGAAACCCGAACTCGCCCTCCACACCCTCTCATTAATGGAAACTCTTAATTGATTGCATCTCTTTGCAAGGCCAAGTCTCTGCCCTCCCCGCGGCTCTGGATGCCGACAGCAGTGCCGGTGGGCTCGCTCGCCCGGCATCCCGCAGCCCCCAAAGGGAGTGCCCAGCCCTGGTACTGCAGAGCCACCTCCCCAGCCCGCGGCCAGTGCGCCAGGAACTGAGAAAGTACCTGGGGCGGGGCCCTCAGGACACCTGCACTCGTCACGCCGGCCGGGACCGGGGTGTGACGTACCGGGAGCCCCCAGCCCGAGTCCACCGACCCGTGCTTACCTGCAAGGCTAGCGGGTGCAGCCCGCGCCAAGTGACCGAGGGCGCCCGGTGTGGCGCGCGCCTGCGCACACAGGGGGGCGGGTCCGTTCCCTGCAGAGCTTGGCGTGGAGCTGCTTAAGCCGCCTGGTCTGAACGGCCATGGACCCAGGTTGCAGCTTTTGCTTTTTGTCGGAGCTCTGGGGGTGCAGGCTTAATTGCCTCTTCCCCACAGGACCCGTTAGCTTCTCGGGAGAAGTGGGTGGAGATTCTTACAGTATTCTGGGACTCACGGAGCCAGGAGCGGCAGCCAGCCTGATGGACCTCCAGCTGAGTGATCTGTACCAGGCAAGGCGCACCCCTGTATACACCTGGGTCCCCCATTTGGAGAAGGGGATTTCAGGATTTTCGGAAAACTCTCCTAGGATGGGTGAAGAGCACGCACACCCAGATGAAGGTTGGCACCGCGCGGCGTCTGGCCTTGAGCTTGCCTGGCATGAAGGACCCTAGCTGTGCCAGCCTTTGGGTGACCTACTGCCACTGGCTGATGACGTGACCTGGGAACATCACTGTACTCCTGTGCTTCCGTTCAACATTGGAAGACTGTCAAGCCATGTTCTAGAGTTCTATAATGGCTCCTTCAGTGTTGATTCAAGTAGGTCACTGGCTCCTCTTGTGTCTTCCATTTCCTGAGCTCATCACTCTACCAGACCTCTGCTTTATTGGTTCTTATTCTGGTACCACGGCTGTAACGTCATAGAAACGAGTATTTCAAGACTTTAGGAGACCCTGCACTCTAGAATGAAGGAAATCCACCAGGTCTTAGTTTTCCCAGTTCCTAGCACAGTGGGTACTAATGAACAAATGTCTTTCAGTTGACTCTTCAGTGCCCCACTTCCTTCTTACACACAGGTTTTTAATTTTACCCCCTTATTTTGCCCAGAAGGAAAGAGGTCTATTTGGCTCTTAGGTGGTAGCCATCAGCCAAATCTTTAGATGAAAAATAGTTCTTACGGGGCTGGAGAGATGGCTCAGAGGTTAAGAGCATTGCCTGCTCTTCCAAAGGTCCTGAGTTCAATTCCCAGCAACCACATGGTGGCTCACAAACCATCTGTAACGGGGTCTGTTGCCCTCTTCTGGCCTGCAGACATACAGACAGAATATTGTATACATAATAAATAAATATTTAAAAAAAAAAGAAAAATAGTTCTTACTTAAACGGTAAACTCTCCCAATTGTTGTGGCAAACAGTTTAAATTTGAACTATTCTTTACATGTGTTGTCTGGTCTCAACAGTTCTGAACATTTTGTGTTCTTAGGCACAAGATTAGTCAGAAAAAGGATGGGGACTGCCATAATCATAGAAGCCTCTTTAAACACACCAACACACAACCATTGCTGATTTCTTTTATCCAGACTATGCTTATTTAAGATTCAAAAATGGTTAAGTATTAAAATGGTTA